AGCTATCACTCATGGAAACTTTACTTTCACAGCGTTTTCATACATTATCTTACCTGCTCGTCGCGCGACGTACGCTAATTGGCATTTGAAACGTGCACGCAGTCGGTATACATGAGCACGCCGCGCGGGAAAATGGTTTCCACGCGCAGCTGCAGCATCGTTTTTGCAGCGTTATTGCAGCACGTTTTTGTTTTTATTGTGTTTCTTTTACGTGCGTCAATTGGTTTATTGACTCTTGCATTTAGTTTCTCTGAAGAATGGTCTAATAATAACCCTTACAAATATGGGAATGTATTTACTGGGGCACAGCTGATTTACACTGGGGCACGTGCCCCAGTAAAAGTGGTCTAGCGACGCCCCTGGCTCCATGCTAGGCTAAAAGCTCGTGCTAGCCAACCACTGCTATCCAGCCTTCTGCTAGTGAACGTACAGTCCCTGGAAAACAAACTGGATGAGCTAAGAGCCAGAATTACAACTCAGCGGGAAATAAGAGAGTGCTACGCTTTTGTTTTCACCAAGACCTGGCTGTCAGACAAAGTCCCAGAATCTGCCATTCAGCTACAGCCTAGAAGACCACAATGCAAGGAGAAACCAAAGGGACCCTCCTTAATACCCAAGTCTCTAGAGAGTGTGTGTGTGTGTGTGTGTGTGTATGAGAGAGAGAGAGATACTACTGAAGGTAGTGATCAGGGGCCGTTTCATGATACACTGAACTACTTTAAAAAATGACAGACTGAACTGTGGACCCTCTCTCCCTCTTTGCAGGTCGGTGCATGTATAGTGAACCAGGAGAATAAAATAGTTGGGATTGGTTACAATGGTATGCCCAATGGCTGTGATGATGACCACCTACCATGGGCCCGGTTTGCTGAAGACCGACTTGACACTAAATATCCGTATGGTGAGAATGCATGCAGAGTATACATATACATGCACTCCTTTAATTTTATTGTAATGTTAGACCATTTCTAATCATTTTGGTTTTTTTATTTGGAGCCCTTGGCATGCTTTTCCTTGTTTTCTGATTTATCTGCAATGTTATGTCGTGGCAAGAGTGAGAGAACAACTAAATTAATTCAGACAAACCATTACAATTTAAAGGATCATTTAATATTACAATTATTCTGGGTAGAGTAGTATTTAAACAGATACTCTTGTAGTTAGGGAACAGAGAACAGAGACTCTCCTCCTGCAATGAAATAGATAAAGCCTAAAGATTGTCGGAGCACCAGTCAGTCAGGTCAGGTCCTTTGTCATCAGTCCTGAGTCAGTCAGCCCCAGTCAGTCATCTTCTCCCCAGCCGGCTGGGTCCCTGAAAGGTACCTCATCTACTGTTTACTGCAGCATGGTCCTTTTTTCCTCTCTACCCCTGGCTCCCTCCTTTATCCGCTCAGCCACCAGCCACTTCTCAACAGCTGGACTCTGTCCCCCTTGACGTCTCTGCGACCCCCCTTCTCACTCCATTCCAGGAAGACAGGAAGGTTGACTCCCAATGTTCTGGCACACAGGGTTCATCTCTGACCATACTAGGCCTTAACTAGGATTCTAAGTATTAATTATATAACCCCTTACATAAGCTAATACCAAATAAGGTCTATATGAGCTACATACTGTTCCATTACATATTTCCTCTGGAATCTGGTTTATTTTTCACCACTACAGTTACAAAAGTGAATTATCATTAGACGTGACCTAAAGCTGAAAAAATTAGATATACGTATGTTCTAGTATTTCAAGCAACTCACTTTATACAAGTCTTGCAAACTCTTGCTCATGAGACTTTTTTTTAACAAAAAGTATTATGTGATATTTTAAGGATTTCTTTGAATGGGCATAATCTCCAGGCCGTTCTGCGTTCATCCGTGCCTGACATCCATGGTGCCATTTTTTTTCAGCTTCATGTGGTTTTGTTGATATATTTTTCCTCCTGCTGTTGCACTGTGACCAGAGGATGTGGAGAAAAATACAGGGCCTGAGGTTACTGCGTGTCTTGGAATGTGCATGTACAGGGACTCGCTGTTTTACTTGACCGGGTCTAACATAGGAGTAGCCAGCCAGCGAAAGTCCCCCGTGGCGGTGAATGATCATCTCATTAAGGCTTGATTCCTCCGGAGCACAGTACCTGTTTGTCTTGACTGAGGCTAGTGTGTCTGCCGCATGTGATTTTTGTTGCTGGTTAACGAGTGGATTAATGACCCATGATGTTATTGTTGGTGCTACGCTACCTGTTGGAATTAATTTCACTACTTTGGGACTGTATGTGGTTATGTGGGGGAAGACGCAGTGACCACTGGTTGGATTTACCGACCTTGGAGCTACTTGAAAGGCAGTGATGTTTCCACTAATTGGTGGGACTTAACGACAAGTAAAAAAAAAAACGCAGGTTGCATGTCTGTTAACGCCTTGTTTCTGTAAAGTTAGAAAAAACTGTTGTAAGGCTGGAGAAGTTACTATATCTGTGCTATGCCAGTTAAAATATGGGGCCTCTCAATTGCCTGTTTTGTTTAGAGTGTTACACATCTCTTTTCATCTGTACGTATAACATTGTTTACCTATCTATGTGGAGGAGAAATTCAAATTATGTAATACCTTTGCAGTTTGTTGTGCTGTCTACTTTCAACACAACACCGGCAGCAGGAGGTGTGCACGTTCATGAACTATCCTCTCATTTTACTAAGAAGCTTTCTGGTTTTATTGTTCTGAAATAATTATAAACTATTTGGAGTTATGATGTATGCCAAGCTAATCTAGAGGTAACCAAGAATAAACATTAAATGGCTGGAAATGAGTATGTCATGGGCACGTTAAGAAAATGCGCATGTACAATAAAGTAAGAGCTGTTTCTTATGCAGGAAAAAAAAAAAACCTAATTCAATAGTTGTCTGTTCTATGCTACTGAACTCTTTTCAAGTGCTAATCTTTGGCCTGTAGAGGGTGGTAGAGGATAGATAATGAAGGTATTTCAGGATCTTTCTCCATTGAGATGATGGTCTCACATTTCACCTCATCTCTCTGATCTTTTTTTCTCTGTCTTCTTTCTGTGTTCAATTTAGTGTATGATAGAGGGAAAATCTACATCTTTCTCTACTCCAGAAGAGTACTCTTGCTCTTACTCCTTGTTTTGTTTTATACTTTGTCTGTAAAGGAACAGCAAATTTCAGAGAAAATCTGTATTCACAAAAATGGTCCGTAGAATAACTGACACCTAAACTAGCCAAAAACATTGAAAACTCTAAAAGTGAACCCTAGATGCTGCAATATCTTTGCAACCTGTTTTAAAATGAACAGATAAATTAATTACATTTTATTAACGGCGTAAATTCCCCATACATTTCTTTTGTAAACATCCTGTATCCATTGTCTGACATGTTCAGTCTTCTGTCTTATTAACACTAGGGACTGGTACCAAAACCAGGTGCCACATTGGCACTGGTTCCTATACAGTCGGTTTCTACCGGACCTAATCATAATACAGTTTTCAGTGCCTCATTTGGGTGTCACTTAAATGCTTGCTGATTGAAGTACGATGTTCATGTTGAGTCACTGTAGATGTGTGTTTATAGATTTAGATCAAAATTTTTTACAAACTGTTTATTGGTGAGCTTTAGATTTAGATCAAAATTTTTACAAACTGTTTATTGGTGAGCTTAAGTGCCTTATGTTCACTACATCTGTGTGCTATTTTTAGCTCAGAGTGCGCATCAATCAAGCTAGCGGTGCTACAATAAGGCTTCCTTTAGTTTTACTGGAAGAGCAGATGGAAGGATGTGATATTTGGCTCTGTCTATCTTCCTTTTGTTTTACTGGATGAGCAGATGGATGTGATATGTGGCTCTGTCTATTAGCAGTGAGAAAACGTTACATGTAGTGTGGAAATGTACAATGTTTTCTGTGCTAGTTGAAATATTGCATATGGTAAATAACAAAATATTGTCAATACTGACAACCGAGTGATGGTCATTCTGTCATCATAATGCCAGAAAAATTAAATTATTGCACCAGTTAGACTAATTAAGAGAAATTGTCATTTCCTCTGTTTTCTCCTTCTGACCTGTGATCTTGGTTAGCATCAGCAGAGCTTTTAGTATGCCTTTGAGTTCTAAATGTGCACAAATAGCACCATTTACTATACAAATTATAATAAAAGGGCATAGTTTCTATACTATATTTGCATTTTTCCCTTTAACAGTTCTACAACCATCTGCACTTTTATTTGCAAAAAGCAAAGTTTATCAGTTTGAACATTAAATATCTTGTCTTTGAGATGTCTTTTTGACCCGCAAATCCTTTTTGACCTGCAAAAAGGATTTGCGAGTCAAAAAGGATTTGCAAGTCGATGTATTGTTTTTATTTACATTTTACAGTGTCCCAAGTTCATAGGAATTGGGGTTTGTAGATAAGTGTGCACAAGCAGGTGGATATAGAGCATCTGAGATTTATCACTGTTCAACATGTAATGTTGTGTGTTTATGTATGTGCTCATACAGACAGTTCCTACGCATACATTTAAAACTTGTTCTATACTAACAGTTAAAAGTTCGGATGCACTTTCCCATTCACTTCAGTGGTAAAATGTGTCCAAACATTTGACTAGCAGTGTATGTATGCCTTGGAAAATGAGAGTGCAAGTGTGCAGAGCATGTAGAAACCTTGGAAGACTCAAAACTGTAACAGATATCAAACTTTGTAGAGGTCCTACAAAGTTCTGAATAAAGGGTCTGAAAACTTTGTTGTTGAGTTTTAAGGTTTTGATTTTTAATAAAGCCGCAAAATAATTTTAAGAACACAATTTAACTGCATTAGCTGTCTGTACGTTGTCAAAATGGCGACTTTATCAACAGTTTTCAAAAAGTGAAGGGATCCGAATTCTTAAGTATTTACTTTCACAGTTTTTTCAATACAACCCATTTAAATTGAATCAAAAAATTTGAAATGTTTTAAATTGACTGTGGACCAAAAAAAATCCCACAGTGTGTCATGCAGAGCTGAATGCCATTATGAACAAGAATAGTGCTGATGTGAAAGGCTGCACCATGTATGTGGCTTTGTTCCCCTGCAATGAGTGTGCCAAGCTTATCATTCAGGCAGGTGAGTGTTGACAACACACTACTCTAATGATGTTTTATGTTACTATTACTGTTTATAAGATTTACTGCTTAAAGTCTATGCTAGTTGTGTAACTTTATTTAGTGCAAACATTCAATGTCTATAACTGGGAACTTTTCATGGCAGACTTCCTGAAATTCATAATATTTAGAATTAATTTTCTACACAGCTGTATTTGTATGGGCAGATTTCGTCATAGTAAAAAGAAAACACCATAATGAGCTGGCAGTGCACTGTCAACAGAAAATGGACATTCAAGAGAAGAGGGAAAGAATAGTTGTATGCTCAGGAAGGATCAGGGTATTGTTGCCATATTTGCAAGGTAAAATGAAGCAAACGAATTTGTAAAACCATTCATTTTATGTTTCAAATCAACTAAATTATTTTGGTCTTGTCGATGCCTTTCCAGTTTAATACCAGGCTACATATTAAATTAAAGGAAATGGGATTTTAAATGTTGTATTCCATCAACCAACATTGTTCTCCCAGCAGTAGTAGCTGCAGAGCCTGCTTCAGGGAGACATGATCTGGCTTAACGTCTTTTCACATTGAACTCAAATAACCATGTAAGTTATACATATACAGTATTTCAAGACATTGATTTCATGGTGCATAATGAAAGTTCACAATTTCATGTAGAATATTAAAGACATTGATTTCATGGTGCATAATGAAAGTTCACAATTTCATGTAGAATATTAAAATAGTTACTCCATATTTCTACATTTGAAAGAAGGCATTATACAATAAAGGTTGTGTTTTAGACTAACTCTGAATCGTACAGAAACAGAATGAATTTATACACCAAACATGCAAATAATGCCTTTTTGGCTACTCAAAATTGCTTTTACAGTCAGGGAAAAAATTATTTGAACCCCAGCTGATTTTGTAAGTTTGCCCACTAACAAAGAAATGATCAGTCTACACTGAAAAAAGGATTTGTTGGATTTACTTGATTGTAATGTATAAATCGGTCCGACACAATGATAATGTGTAAAACCAACATAATTTTCTTTAGGGGTTAACTTGTTTGAATTATATTAACAGAGGAAATATGAATGAATTGCGTTGCATATACTAGCATAATTTGAGTAAATCCAAAGACCCGGTGAGTCCTTTTTTTCAGTGTACATCTCTGGTCAGTATCATTAAAATGTTGACAACAATGATTAGTAATAAAAAAAAAAAAAAAAAGACCCTTAATAAAACCG